CCCGCCAGCATCAGGCGTCAAGTGGTGCACATGGAAGGCCTCAGCACAGCCCAGAGGTGACTCCAGCTGCCTGGAAGGAGGGGAACAGAGGAGCTGTACGAGGCTCAGTGTGAGCCCCAGCAGCAGGCGGAAACCAGGAAGGGAGGGCCAGCTCCCCACTGGCTGCAGCCGGCAGAAAGGCAGACAAGGAGTGTGCATCCCGMTGTCTCCAGGGAGGAAGGACAGCCCCAGGTCCCCAGCGGAGGTGGATATCTCCCAGAGACTGCCTCCTGCCAGCCTGGGCTGTGTGTGGCTGCAGGTGAGTGCTCACGTCGGGTCCTGGGGACCAGCACTCAGACAGGTGGCCCTGCCTAGGACCTCACTGCAGGTGGGAGGTGTGGACGCCCTGCCCTGCGCGGTGGTGGAGCTCCTCCGGCTTCCACTTCCTGCCAGATCCGTCAGCCGAGGATGACCTCTTAGCCAGAGCCATGGGGGGACGCTGGAGGGCAGGGGGGAGACTGCTGGGCAAGTGGACAGAGACCCTCCCTTGCTGGGCAAGTGGACAGAGACCCCCCCCCGGGCTTCACATTTCTGATCTGAAAATAAGAATATGGGTGGATCTCCAGGAAACTGATACCCCGTAGCTCTAAAGCCAGCCTGTCCTTCCTCCGCCCTTCTCCTCTCCTCTCCCCCTGCTTTCCTTCCCCGCCTTCTCCTTCCCATCCTTCTCTTCCCGTTCTCAGTGTGGAGCACGGGCCGGGCACACGCCTTCTCTCTCACCACCATCTACTTTAGAAGGTAAGTCAAGCCTAGATCTATCCACAAAGGCTTCCCACGCAGCCTTCTTTATAACTGGACAAACACTGACCACGACTCCCTCACCTGCCGGTGGTGGTGGTGGTGACAGGCGCTGGTCAAGGGCTTGCCCTGTGCCAGGCCGGTCACGCTCCAAGGTGGAAGCTCCTCAGCCGACTCTCACAGAGGCTCCGTGRGGTAGAACTGGGCTGTGTGTCCCTCACCAAAACACAGGACATGCCCAGCTGCCTTCATTGACAGGGAAACGCTCCGTGAGTGCAAAGAGAGAAGGATGCGAGACGAACCCGCTGAGGTTCCGCGTGTGCCTGAGCTGCCTGAGGGGAGGGCGCTCCAGGTGAGCCTCCTGAGCTCCGCTTAATGGCCTCCGGGAGTCTGGTCGGGAACATGGTGGCCACCGTGTGAGCCAGTCACCGGGTTGGATCCTGGGGCTGGGGCTGATGGATCCCTTGCTATTTTGTAAACACCCCTGTTATCTCAAGCGGGCTCTGAACTTCTCACCCAGTTAAATGTGGTCAGCACTCAGTTCCTAGCCATTTCCAGAGCATGGTGCCTAAGGGCTTTCACGCTGAGCAGCCCTCCAATCCCCAGAACCCACTCGACCTTGCAAAGCACTGAAACTCTGTCCTCCTTAAAGGTCAAACCCCCACCCAGGCCTGGCCACTGCCATCTGCTCTCATCCTCCATGACTGTCCATTCTCAGGACCTTGTGCAAGTGGACCAACTATCTTACAGCGAGGTGGTGGGGGACTCTCATTCCTCCTGTCCTGTCTAGATTCTAGCAGATTTTCTAGAAGCAAAATAAATGGCCACATACAAAATTTTAAATGTTCCAAGGATACGTGAGGATGGACGTCCCTGGCCTCTCTAACCCCAGTGAAACGCTCCGGAGGCGGCCACTGGGAGTGGACTCCCATGGGACATTCCAGAAACACCATGGCGTGTCCACGGAAGACACTCACTGTAGGCCTGCTCTCCGGGTTCTGCTCCTGCTCCTCGGGCACCCAGCGGTTTCCGCCTGTGGCTGTGACAGTAAGAACGTGTCCTAGCGCACTGGCCCAGTCCCCAGCCGCCCTCACTCTTGGGCCTGGGTGCACTGACCTGGCGGTGGGACTGATCTCTGGAGGGGGACCACACAGGACAGAGAGCTCCTGAGGCCCTCGTGTGGCAGACACTGCCGGTGGCCTTGGAAGAGCTCCTTCCCGTCCACCCCACTGTGGGTGCTGGTGGGAAGACCTCTGAGGCCATCCTTGCAGCTGGGGGGAGGCGGCCCCGGGACGGTCAGCTGGAGAGCGACGGTGTGGGGTGTTGGACTGGCCATGGCTCCAGAGTTGCAGAAGAGCCCCACTGGGCTCCTGTGGCAGTGCAGGTAGAGGTGGCATGAAGTCCCCAGGGTCACAGCAGGAAGGGGCACTGGGGTGTTCATCTGAACTGTTAGGGGCAATGGCTACTACCGAGCTCTTACCTTGTACCCGGCACTGTCCTCCTGCCCCCCTGACACGTAATGAACCTGTGTGGGGCCTTAGTGGGGTATAAACACAGTTTCCTCAAAAACTTAAAATTCATTGTAAAACCAGCGCTGTGCTGGACACGACCCCGGTCAGGCCTCTCCGTCTGCGGTGGGGGTGACCTCGAGGCCGAGACTTCCTTGGGTGCCGCTGACTGGAGTCTGAGATGCACCTCACTGGGTCCCCACAGGCCGGGGGTCAGGTCCATAGGTGCCTTAATCATCAGGTGTGATCGGCAAGTAAAACCGGACGGAGGCAGGTAAGGTGTGCAGCTCGACCTTGGGCACACGTCAGGTCGTGGAATGAGTACTCCCATCACTCTCGTGGATCCATCCCTCCCAAACGTCCATCCTTCTAGCAAGTCTGCAGGGAGAACTCTGACTGCAGTCACCTTGCTGGGCCCGTTCGCTCTTTTCTAAAGAAAGATGTCCCGGCCTCTCCACAAGTGACCGTGTCAGAGAGCCAAAGGCCTCCACTTGTTCACGGGTGTGTGCAGGGAAGGGTGGGTCCCAGCTTGAACCCTCTCTGTCTGAGCTCTGCCCACAGTCCCTGGTTCAGGGCAGTGGAGGACAGCCCCTTCCTGGTAAGAGCAGACACGGACACTCTGCAGGAGCGTCCCAACGGGTACTGAAGGAGGCGAGCTCGGGGTTTGCTCTGTGTGGTTTGGGCAAATGAGACGGGCGTGGGAGGCCGCTGCGCTCATCCATCAGCTGCTCACGGGTCTCTGCTGACCTAGGGCTTCTCCTGTTCAGTCCACGCCTTCCGCTCTCCATTCACTTGGGCAGATTCACCCACCTTCTCTGTGCCTCGGTTCTGCCAAGTGGGAGCTGGGGTTGGTGATGACAGACATCACCCGATTGCCCCTGGTGTCTGGGGGAGTCTCCCTCGGGGGGAGATGGAGCCCAGCCTTGTGCTTGCCAGGCAGGGGCTCGACCCTGAGCCGGTCCTTGGGGGAGACATTCTTGTGTCCGTTTACGGAAGAGGAAAGGAAGAGCAGTTGGCACTGCCTCTCTGGTGGGCTCACCCAAGCCAAACAGAAAACAACACTGAGGTGCCAGATGGGCCTCCTCACACAGGCTGGCCCTGACCCCTCCCTGGTCCAGGGTCTTCTCCTGTGGCCTCCCGCTCACATGTGCAGCCCAGCCCCCCTCTCCCCTGCCTCAGCCCCAGCCTGAACATCCCAAGTCCTTCCATCTCAGAAAATGGCTCCATCCCCTCCCTTGGCCAGAGTCCTAGGACTTACCCTTCACCCTCACGTCTGCTCCATGGTCATGCCCAGGGACTCCACCTCCAGGACTTATCCTGACAGTGGGCACACCCTCACTGAAACACCCACCAGGACAGTCCAGCCACCAGCATCCCTCATGCGCAGGACTCCCGAGGCAGCCCCCTGCCTTCCCTCCCTGCGCCCACACTTGGCCCTGGACACTCCTCTGTGGAGAACCCTCATTACCCAGCAGAGTGTTGGAAACAGAAGAGATGCTCAATCAACAGAGGTTGAATAAACGAGAGCAGCCGGAAGCTTTCACAAGAGCTGAGCATTGCAGGGCCCTGGGGAAGTGGTGCACACTCTTCAGCTGGTCTTCAACCAGCAGGAGTCCCCAAAGCATGTGCATGAGCACCCCGCACTGGAGCCGCCAGGCTGGGCCACCGCGGTCATGTCCTGGTGCCCAGGGAGCTGCGGACACCTGTGTGTTTTCCACCAGGCACTCAGCCATTTCACTCTAGGGTTGAGGCCAGCCAGAACAGAAGCAGGAGGCCCTTGCATGAAGGGTGCTGGTGGCCTAGGCCAGGGAGTGCCATGGAGCAGGATGGAGCAGACCCCACAGTGTGCAGAGGGTTCCTCACCACACCCCCAGCTTCAGAAGGGAGTCTGAATCTGGGAGACGAGAGGCCGGAACATCTTCCCTGGGGTTCACCGGTGCGCCACTCAGGACAGTCACTCAGGAGTGCCAGTTCCTCTTGGCCATGAGCACACCCCAGTGCTCTCTGCACCTGATGGTGTTCACCTGCAGTCTGAAACGGTTTCTTTCACTGTAGAACCCACCTGCAGACGAGGAGCTCCATCAGCTTGCTGGCTGGCAGCTTCACGGAACCCAATAGTCAACCCCACATCAAGCGTCTTTACCACGCTGTGTAGACAGTCACGATCCTGGGCTGGGTGGAGAAGGGAGAGCAGGGTGCCAGAGCGGGGAGAGGGGGCGGAGCCAGCAGGAGGCAGGGCCCAGTGAGAGGGTGTCGGGACCTACAAGAAGAATGTGCCCAGGAGGGGAGGGCAAGTGAGAACATAGCTCTCCGTGGCTCCCTCTCCATCCAGAACCCCGGCTCGGTGCCTGCCACAGCGCCTGGGAGCCCGGAGAAGTCAACGGTGCAGCCTGGTGGTGGGCAGGTCCCCGGACACTAACAGATGAAAGGCTCCCTCCTGACTGGAGAGGAGGGGACAGCAGGGCAGAGGCCCTGATATGGGGGCCTGAGCTCCTGGACCAGAGTCCAGAAAAGCAGACAGGGCCAGGCCAGCTCGTAGGACCTCTGACTTCCTCCCTGGCTCCTGCGCACCACGGGTCTGATTTGCCCTGGGCCGAGACCCCGGGGGCTCTGCGCCCAGGACGCATGCGCACAGGCGCGGCCTCACGGGCACCTTCTCCATCCTCTCCCCTCCCAGGCTTCCTCGGCCGGCCGCGCACGCCCTGCAGCTGGCCCATGCCCGTGGCCCGCACTCCCCCGGGCGGCCCCGCAGCCCTGGCCTGGGCCAACCAGAGCGGAGCGCGCGACTTCGTGCTGCTGGGCTTCGCGCACGTGCCCAGGCTGCGCCCGCTGCTCGCCCCACTCTTCCTGGTGCTCTTCCTGCTGGCGCTGCTGGGCAACACGCTCATCGCGCTGCTGCCCGGCCTGGACCCCGCCCTGCGCGCGCCCATGTACTTCTTCCTGCGCCAGCTGGCCCTGGTGGAGCTCTGCTTCTCGCTGGACGTGGCGCCGCGCCTGCTGCTGACCCTGCTGTGGCCCGGGCGTGGCGTGTCCCCCGTGGCCTGCGCCCTGCAGCTGCTGCTCGTGCTGTCGTGCGTCACRTCCGAGTGCTTCCTGCTGACCGCCATGGCCTGGGACCGCTTCGTGGCCATCTGCAGGCCGCTGCACTATGGCGCCCTGGTGAGCCTCAGGCGCTGCCGCCTGCTGGCCGCTGCCTGCTGGCTGGCGGGAGTCCCCGTGGCGCTGGTCTTCACCGCCTGGCTGTTCAGCTTCCCCTTCTGCGGGCCGCGTGGCATCCGCCACTTCTTCTGTGACATCGCCCCTCTGCTCAGCCTGGTGTGCGCAGACACCAGGGTCTTCGAGGCCAACGTGTTGGCGGCCACGGTGCTGGTCATCATGGTTCCCTTCTGCCTGATTGCCACATCCTACGCCAGGATTCTGGCCACTGTCCTGCGGATGCCGTCGGCCTCGGGGCGCCTCAAGGCGCTGTCCACCTGCGCGTCCCACCTCATCGTGGTGATTCTGTTCTATGGCACCACGGGGGTCATCCATTTGCGCCCCAAGGCCAGCTACTCTCCTGAGAGCAAGCAGGTGGTGTCCCTGTCCTACACCCTGGTGACCCCCATGCTCAACCCGCTCATCTACAGCCTTCGGAACAAGGAGGTGAAGGCTGCCCTGGGCCGCCTGTGCCGGTGGCCTCGCCGGTCTGGACTCAGGGCATGAGCTCTTGTGCCCCAAGATGGGAGTCAGAGTCAGCATGTGCTTTTGCCCAGGATCTTTGTGCCAGTGTGTGTAGCGCTCAGACTCTCAGGGAACTGTCCTCTTTCTCTTTTCAGTCTGGGTGGCCCTAGTCTTGGAAATCCCTGTGCCCTTGTGCCKGGACTCCTAGACGCACGGATCACATCTTTCTGCCCAAGCAAAGGCCCGTGACCGAGGCTTCCAGCCCCCATGAGTACCTGGCAGCTGACAGGCTAAGCTGCCTGGGACAGCTGGAGTGTGGGGATCAGCAGCTGCCACTGGAATGCAGAGTAACAAGGCACCCAGTGTCTTAAGAGCTGCCATCTGTTCTCCTGAACCTGCCCTCGGCTGAGTGCTGCTAATCCAGCCTGGGCTCCTGTTCATCTGGGTGACATTGCTGATACCCAATGGCCTTGCTCGGGAGACTGAGTGGTGGCTGGTGTGGGCGGGGATAGCTGGGAGAGCTGGGTCCTCGTCCTCCACCCCGGCGGAGAGCTGGCTGGGGCCCTCTTCTCACCACACTGCAGGGAGGCACGCCTGCAGAGGCCCAGGGCAAGGGGTGCCCAAGACTTTTTTATGTGAGTGGGCCAGTGCCCAGCACATGGGCAAACCCAAAGTCCAGGGGCAGCGGGGCACCCTCTTCCTCTGTGGGGGAAACTGCACACTGGGCAGTTGACATTCATCTGGGGATGAGTGAAGAATTTGAGACACTAGTAGAATCTACTTCAGGGCATCAGATCCCAAGATGTTCACTCAGATTCTCTTTGTCAATGACTTGCAGCTTGTGACCTTTAACAGGGGAGTCCCTGCTCGATAATGGAGTTGATGCAAAGAAAACCAAAACCAGCAGAGGAAGGGGAATGGGGTTCTAATGACTGTGGAGTTCCTGGATCCAGCCAGGCCTGATGTCTGTCCCACCCGTGGGTTCCTTTTATGTGACCAAATAAATTCACATTTACGTGAGCCTGTTCAGGTTGGTTTCTCTGTCCTTTGAAGTGATCTTATTTTCTGAGTGTTATCTCTAATAGTTAGCCTGATTAACAGGGGTTAATTTATTTCTTCAAGTCAATTAGGAATTTTTTCTAGACATAAGTAAATACATCAGAGGAGCAGTTTTCTCTCTTCTATTGGAGGGACCTGATCTTTCTGGAAGACAAATTCAATTTCCTTGAATTTGATGTGTAACTCTTTCTTTAGATTTAGGACTGGGACTTGACTTTCAGCCTCAGTTTTCTCATCTGTGAGTGAGAATGTAATGATGCCGACCACACAGTGTGGGTAACACACAGCAAGAGGAAACATGGAAGCCCCCAGTGCATCCTGGGACACAGTGGGCACCCCCAGTGCATCCTGGGACACAGCGGGCACCCCCAGTGTGTCCTGGGACAGTGGGCACCCCCAGTGCATCCTGGGACACAGCGGGCACCCTCAGTGCATCCTGGGACAGCGGGCACCCCCAGTGCATCCTGGGACACAGCGGGCACCCCCAGTGC